AGTATATATACTACTACTACTACCTACCTCCTACGACGAGAGAGAGAGAGAGAGAGAGAGAGAGAGGTTGTTATCGATTTAGAAATGTTAGCAGAAATGATCTGTATGATTGATTTCGTGAGGTTTGACATGTTAAAGCTTATTTACCCCAAAAAAATAAGCTTAAAGTACTTTAAAAAAAAGTAAGCACATAAATAATGGAGAAAGGAAGAGGATAGATTGTTAATCACTAGGGCAACCCACTAGATCTTATAAAATAAAAGGAAACCATACAATAAGACCCCTCTGTCCTTGGTTAAAAAAAAACATAATCACCATGTGAAAGCAGGCAGCTTTGAGGTGTGATTTAAGATTATTTTTTTTTTGCCAAATTTTATTCAAAGAAATGACGTCTTTATATATTGTTTAATAGTTGTAATTTTACTTCTACAAGTAAAGTTTCTGCATTGTATAAACCCTTTCCTTTTAAATAAAGGGAAATGGTCTTACAAATTCAAAGATAAACGTATGGGTGGCAACGGGACGGTCCGAGGCCGAGTCCAAGTTCAGAGTGTGGGACCCATACCTGACCTAAAACTTAAAATATGTATATATTGAATTATATTTGAATATATTTTATATATTGGGGCTTGAAAAATATTACCCAACCGGACCCAGACCCAAATAGTGTTCACCCGACGCATAGGGTCTAAGTTTTGGACCCATACACGGATTCCAATAGTATTCACCTGGCTCGCCAAGTGACTCATGCACGGATCCAGAGCAGGTCTACCCCTTGGGTTTTAGGTCTGGGTCCATTGCCCCCAGATAAATGCACGTCACTATCATCAAGAAGTATTGGTGAATCAAAATATAATTTTTTAAATAGTGAGTTAAATGATTATGGGGCCTTAATCAAATTACACGATAATTATCTCCAACGCATTTTACTTGGAATTGGGAAAAATCCTCTCAGACCCAACATAATATCCAATGACTGAGTATGGAATAGGGTACTCAAATAACAATAATGGCCATCTGTATATATGTAAAGACGGTGGTGATAAGTTACTTCCCATTTTTATATTCACTTTGTATTTTTTTAGGAAGAGTTATTCAAAAGTGCATTTCTTTTCGTAGTTCAACATACAAAATAATACTTGAGACATAGCATTGCCAATGTCAGCCAAGAATGTAAGAATGTCAACTACTCGCTATTTAAGCCCAAAAGCTTATCGTAAGTGAATTTTACCATAATTTTATCATAAGGTGTTTTTGATAGGACCCACACGACGCAATGCACGCACGTGATACGGTGTGTTTGTATGAGTTGTCAACTTTAGGTATGGGCCCCAATCTCCAAAGACTTATCCAAACAAAAACTTGTCAAATTTTAAATAATCAAAGTAACGCGCACTTCTAAATTGTGCTAAAAGATATAGTTGCAATATCAGAAACCCTTAAAATGGCTTACAAATTTATTTTTACCATTAATTGCGTAATTTAAGCTCCAAAAATTGTATAATTCAACCATCATTTGAAATAGACGATCTGGATAATGTGTTACAAGACTATTTTTAAATTGACTTAGATTCAATCGAAGTCATTAGACTCATATGTAGCTGAGCCACTGAGCTGAACTAACCTCAGCCTTTCTCTACATATATATATATATAAAGAAAAAGTTTGTATAAGGTTGCAACTTTAAAATGTAGAATTACATATGCACCTCAAAAATCCATCGGAAAATGTTGTGTTAATGTTGAAAAACCCTCTAATTGACTGTCTCGATATCAAGATGTATGAATATGAAAAAAAAAAATTTGAATCCCAAAAATAGTGTATCTTGCAACGCATTATCTAGATTGTCAATTTTGAAGATTTTCCTATGTTTATAGATCTACTTGATTTTAAGTAATTTTTTAGTTTAAATTTTTATAATTAGATATGAAAATAGATTTTAAGATAATCATAATACTCTTAAGATAATCATAATATTTTTTTGTACCAACATTACATATTATGATTAAATTTGGATGTGCGCCTTAATTGGATTGTTTAATGTAACAATCCAAATCTGGGTGTTTAAGGTTGCAACCTTAGAAAAACACACGGTTAAATTTTCAAGTGATTTGGATTTGTAGAAAACAAATTAAAATTCAAATACGAAATGAGATCATGATCGTCAAATCAGCCCAGATTAAATATGGAACGTTAAGCTCATATGTTCATATGAGCTAGTGGGCTAATCCTTGCTTTTTCCATATATATAGGGAAATGACCTTGTGAGACCATCCCACACTTATGTGTGTAGGACTCCAAAAGATCACCATTAAATTTGACACATGTATCTAGAAAAATTATCATATGGGTATGGGACTTGACTTTTTTAGAAATCTGTGTCAAATTTAATGATGATCATTTGGGGTCCTACATATATTACTCTCACACACACACAACACACACGCACGCACACACACACACACATATATATATATATATATATATATATGGAAAACTATTCCCAATGCCTATCAGCGAAAATGAGCAATGATTTTACGTACGCTCATCACCATCCAAACTACATCGCATGGTCACAGTTGTCCGGTACTGTTTCAATTTTTATTTTTTTATACAAATACAAATTACTTGAAATTTGGAGCGTATGTATATCTTAGTGAGGCACACCTAATAAAAATATGAAAAAAATAATTTACAAAATATTAATTGATCAAAATATCCCCATAAAGTTTTGGAGGTATTTTGGTCAATTTCTATTTACAAATTATTTTTTTCATCTTTTTATTAAGTGCATCTCACTAAGATGTACACACGATTGAAATTTTAGATCATTCTAATTCGTAAAATAAAAAATAAAAAATAAAAAATAAAACACTATCAGACAATTGTGATCGTACGATGAAACTTGGATGGTGATGAGGGTAGACGAAATCACTATTCATTTTCACCTCTAGGTGTTTTGTAGTATATATATATATATATATATATATATATATATATATTTACTATGAGTATCATCATATACGGTACCCTTCCCACCCTATGTATACGTACGGAACCCAAAGATACATAATTAAGTTAGCATGAACTACCTAAAAAGT